AGGTTTTGGTTTTCCCACCAATATCCAATATGCATTCCTCTTCGCCCCATTCGTGCTACATACCCTGTCCATCTCATACTCCTTGACTTGATAATTCTAATTATGCTTGGCGAAGAGTACAAGTTATGTAGTTTTCTCCAACCTCCTGTCACTTCATCTCTCTTCGGTCCAAATATTCTCTTCAACACCCTGTTCTCAAACACTCTCAGTCTATGCTCTTCCCTTAATGTAAGAGACAAGGTTTCACACCCATACAGAACCACAGGAAAAAATACGGTTTTGTATATTCTAATGTTTTTGTTTTTAGACAGCAGACGGGAAGACAAAATGTTATGGACTGAATGATACGGATTACACGATGTTCCATTGTGTTTATGCTTAGGGGTTTATATGAATTGTGCTCTTCATAAAGAATTTGTGTTCCTTGTGTTCATACCAAATTATTTTTCAACTGAATTCATGCCAAGGGATTTTCGTTCACTGTCTTCATGCTCTTCAGTGCGTTCATGCAAAAAGATTTATATTAATTATATTGTTGCCAAACAATCCGATTTTTTGTGTTCATGTCATACAATCCTGTGTTAATTGTGTTATTGCACAATGGTTTAATTTCATTGTATTCAAGTCAAAGAATGTTACTTTCATATCAAAATATTTGTGCTAGTCTTGTTGCCAAAACTAGGACACGTAACAACAAATGCAGACCAGCGTGTCCATCCGCCTCTTACTACAAACCCCAGGTACTTTTAATAGCTCAGAAGATCCTTGTTCAGTCTCTTCAGAATAATGTAGCAAGCTTATCCTTCACCAATTAGTTCTAGCTTTGTAACCATCATTCAATTTATTTATGCTCCTGTACAAGCCACTGATGTTCTTGTTCTTACTGTTTCTTTTTCGTGCTCGTTAATTTTATCTTTCAGTCATTCCGTCTTGTTCCTGAAATGCCTACCAGCTCCACATCTCACATTCTTATTATTATAAACACAAATATATCGTATATTTATATTTTATTTTAAATGTTTTGTCCATATCTTGTATTATTTCAGATAAAACAAAGAATATATTGGAGAAAACTACATAATAAGGATCTTCATAACTTCAACTCTTCGCAAAGTATAATTAGAATGATTAGGTCGAGGATGAGATGGACAGGGCATGTAGTACGAATGGCGCTGCAGATGAATGTATGTGGGATATTGGTGGGAAAATCAGGAGGAAAAAGAAAACTACGAAGACTTAGACGTAGGTGAGTTGGTAATATTAAAATGGATCTTAGAGAGATAGGGTGTGGTGGCATGGACTGGATTGATCTGGATTAGAACAGGGACCAGTGGAGATCTCTTGTGAACACGGTAATGAACCTTCGGGTTACATCATATTCTGTGAATTTTGAATCCTTGTTACGTATTTGCGTTTTAACAGTCCCTTTAATTGTCTGTTGAAGCAGTCTCGATTAAAGCATCAGACAACATTTTTACTGAAGCTCTGATCAATGACAAAAATTAGTTCATATTTTAAAAATTACACGCTTAGATTCGAAAGGGTTCTGACGATAGGGTAAAACACAGAATTACTGCGTTCTAGGGCTCTTCCGATCGTCAGACATGCTAGAAAATTGAAAACACGTCGTTTCGCAAACTGGTTCTGTTTCCGTCCTCAGGTAAGAGGAGAAGACAGCTACTCAGTTGGGCCCCTTAGAAAGAGCTAATCTCAATCACTGGAAGACCCCTTTCAGATTTACACAGTTATTTAATCACCTGAGTCCGGGCTAATTCGACGCGAGATAAGAAGAATATATGCAACAAAACTTGTGATAGAGCACACCCAAGCGCTGATAGAAAAGGTGGTAGAAATTATGTGCTACAAACCTAACCAACAAAGTCAAGTGTATCAGCACGAATGCAAAGAAATGGGGAAAGGCACACTTCCTACTCTGCTTTGTCGTCGTACCTTGCGTATTAATTCTTATTTATGAAAATATTACTCCGCTTCATCGCCTGTTCTCTCTGCAGTTATTCCCCTGTAAGCCTGCCTTTCTTTCCCGTACAACTTCTTTTTCATAACATCCTAAGACTTTATTTAATATAGTCCTCAAGAATCGGTTTAAGTATCTAATCCCAGGAAGATCGTCGAATAATTATTTCGGAAGAAAAGAAAAACCTCAATTTCCTCGTCATGTCAAATCTCATAACAACAGTTCTCTTTGTTTCTGTAGAACAGCTGCTGTTTATATAGACAGACAGACTTCATTCCATTGAAGCTGCTTTACAGATGCGGGAGTTTTAATTTGAAAGACCGTGGAGAATGTTTGAGGTAGAGATTATGAATCCTGGGTTTATCTTTGGGATAAATAGGTACATTATTGCATTTTATGAACAGCAGTAGCTTGCCTATCTGTCTAATAACCATACTTACGTTTTTAATACTCTTTACCTAGTAGTCTGAAGGCATGGGACTCACTCATCGCTGTTCGTATGGAGAAATGAGAAATGCGTGATTAATTTTCTTTTGTCAGAAATCCTGAAGTCAAATGGTAGACCTAGATGTAGACTGTAAAAATAATATTATGTTAGAGCAACAGGGCGTGAATTTTTTAATTGGAATTAGCTGGCTTAAGGGGAGGTTGTAATTCCAGCTTTCTCACTTTCGATTTTACCAAATTTATATTCGTATTTTTGGCCGATCGTAAGGTGTACAACTTTGGCTTTTGGCCCATGTATAATTGAGCTCCCTCTACATCTGCTGCTATTTAAATAACTTACCTTTAATTTATTTAAAATATTACCCTAGCAAATACTTTCCGCGCAGTCTAAGGCATGAACTGTCTTCTATCGCTCAAAAGCTGGGACCGTGGTTCCGAATCGTACTTAAGGCATGGATGTCTGCGTGCGTTTATTCTGTGTTTGTGTTATACTGTGTGTAGCTTGAGGCCTTACAACGGGCTGATCCCCCATCTAAGGAGTCATACTGAGTGTGTAAAAAAATTACGAAACTGAAGGAAAGGTCAGGGCCCGACAAAGTGCTGTAGAACCATTTATGAATGAATGAACGATCAGATGCTTAGAACCCTCGTCTATATATGTGACAAGTTTCGTAACTGTCTTGTCTTGTGGTTGCCTAGGAAACCGCATCTCAAATTAATGAACATGGCCAAGATATGGCTTATAACCTTGACTTAGGATGGGGTGCAACACCGGTGACGAATCTCCGATTCATAAAAAGGAGAATTCGTTTCACATCTCATTAATTATCAAATTATCAAAGATGTTTGTTACCATGGGGTTGCTTAGTCAAGTGAAAATTGCGCTATCACGCTTGTTGGCGTGGCGTGGATAGGGGTGGCTTCAACAGGAGGAATTTTTTAAGAATATGAATATTTGTAGGATTCCATTAATATTTTATGCTTCTGGAGAGAAATTGAGGGAAGAATCTTTATTAATGAAATATTTTGAACAGAAAGTAAATATGGGTTTTTTGTTTGAGGAAATATTTTAATGGCAATGCTAAGGACATTTTCTTTATTTTATATCATCATCATATAGAGTCCATACAAGATATAAGTAACATAAAATTTCATAATCAACAGTTAACTAACACAACATTGTTACAAATATAAGCAAGAATTTCGCAGTGAGTCCATTGCTATCCTAAATACATTATGTACGGTTACGTATATTTTAAGGTATTCAATTCATGAACGTCTTAAGACTGAAAATAGACGAGCAGTATCCACTCATTCAAGTCCCATGCTCAAATTTACTTCCACAAACATTAGAATCTATATTAGGACACTTCAGGAAATTAAATTTGAACATTTTATGCCTCGGATTGGGTTCGATAATCGTCGATTAAGGCGTAAGTAGCCTCGAAGATTTCAGTTGTATTTGAGGATTTCACAGCTGTGTCTATGCAGACCGATGTCTTCCGCGATATAAATCCTTACATTCCGAAGCAAGGATTTGGTACTTATTTCATGTTACTTCCTTTCCCTTGGACCCTGAAGATGGAAGTAATACGTGTATGCTCCTCCTATACGTCGGTTGACTTTTACCGGACTAAGCCGTGTCGAATCCCAGAGGACAGAATTCTGCGTGAATTAAATGCCTTTGTAAAATATCGTACAAACAAATTGAGGCGTTAAGCTGCATCTGACATACAGAATTAATATACATACGTAAAATGGTAAACATAAATTATATGTATAATATACATACAGTTTTTGAAGATACTGTCTTTACCTGAAGGCTATATCGTTGGAATTTACGAGCCGTATCCACAAAATAAGTTCTGTTTGCAAATATTGCCGCTGTAGCGCTGCGATCACTATGATGTGCATGCTTGCACAGTTTGTTGGTCCTTTCGGAAAGCAAGTACGCGATTTGCTGACAATCGAACCGCGTTTACGTGTCGTCCTTGTGTTTACAATATTCAAGAAAATCTAGAAGCCCGCAGCATGTGAAATGCGGTCTGTAATCCTTAATACGTAACTTGCAGCCTTAGTTTCTCTTCGAGTATTTATTTGCTAGAATTTGCTCAGAAATAAAACAGAGAGGAAAATATTAACATACTAAATACAGTTAAACGATATTTGAATATCTTATCCGAACAGCCTCCCCCGACAAAAATTTAATTCTCTACCACTTGTAAAATAAAATAAATTATATCAAATATAATCAAACAATAAACAAATCTGTAAAAAATATAAATGCGCATAATAAGCATTATATATAAATGTAAATGTTGAAAATTTGTTAATATGATTTAGAAGTAAATGTATATTTATTATTTTATTTTGGTTCTCAGTGTATTGAAAGTATTTTTGGATAAGTTTTATTACAAAAAACTTACCACTTAACCGGGGATAGCAATGGAGTCGCCTTAAAATTTACAATTCTGATCTTTTTTAGAATATTCTTTCGGGATATTCTATATGGAAGGAATCTTCACTGTTTTAAAGATATATTATGTACATTTGTTACTGTAAAATCGTATCCGTGATATTCTTTCTCCAGAGATATACATAAACATTGTCACGTGATACCCATATGACTACACCTAGCGCGGGAGAAGCTTGCAACCTGAGGACATCTAGGATTGAAGTATTATGTAATATTCCAAAAACATAGACTGCATGGGGTGTCTACTATACCCAGCCTCTGTTATAACCCTGGTTACTACGGTGGAACCCATTCACAATGGTCCACAGCCCCGGTCATTAATATACCTTATTACCATCTGCCATTGATCGGCGTAATACATTTGCAATATTGCAGGCTATCGAGTTTAAAATAAATTGCTAATTTACATAGGATAAAATACTTTAAATACAGCTCTAAATTATGTTCTCTTCGCAAATACCAGTTTTCAAATTCCTTGTCTATTCAATGCGGAACAAAAGAAGGTTAAACGGCACATAAAGTCGTATCTTAAGCCATGTCAGTTTACAGGTCATTGTTTTTAGTAATCATGGCTTAAAGGGGCTCAGGTTATGCTTTATATGTTGTTATTTTAGTCCTTTTGCTCCGCTTGAAAAAAGGGTAAGTGGTCAGTAATGAGAGAAAGATGATAATGTGAAATTAATACAGATGAACATAAGCGCTTAGCATATAATATTAATAAAGCTCTTTGGATGACTCATAACACATTACATAATATATACATTTTTCGTACTTCAGCACTGAGTCTGAAATTTACTCTTCCTTGGGGGGAAGAGAATTCAGACTTCCCTAACTGTACATAATACTGTGCTTTAAGCCGAACTCTCACCAATCACGAACAGATCATGGCTACGTGATTAAACTGAGACGTACTCTGAGTACTCCAGATTCGTGTCCCTTTCGAAATCGATACGATTTCGTACAAATGTGAGAGTTCAGAATAGGAACCTCAACAATACACGCTCACACTCACTCTTGGCGTGTAAAATACTTCCGACAGTTTGTTCTTAACAACACTTCTTAGAAAATATATTCTTATTTTATTAATACTATTATATTATTTTGTTAATTCAGTATTATTTTCAGATTTCAACAAAAAAAATTAGAAATAAATTGCAATCTCTTTTCTTTCGAACTTTCAGATCTCGAGCTCTTCAGTTAGTGGAGCAGATAGTGAGCGCTTATAGGATGAAGGACAGACTCTGAAGGTGCCTCCTGCTTTTCATTTAGATTCTGGGAAAAGTAGCGAGTAAGTTCCAACGAGTCGTCGGATTGGTAAGTTGCGAGATCAGCAATGTATTGTTAAGAAGCATTGACGGAATTTAGTTGCCATAATTTTGCCAAAAATGGAAAGAAAAACTTACACCATCTACACTTTCTCCTGAGAAATTAAGAAAAAAAATTTAGAACTGTTGACGGACTTTAATGATCAAAAATTTACCAGAATGGAAAATAAAACTTGCACCGTCTCTAATTTAGACTTATTTGTTACTTTACTTTTTCCTAAGGTATTTAAAGAAAATATGTTTCTCTGGTTCAGATTTTTTATTATAACTTATAAATTAAGTTAACTAAATCCTAATGCATATTGTCAGCTTATAAGGTCAGCACTTGGTAGGACAAATTTCGTTTTACTAAGAGAGCCACACACACAAAGACATCAAGTAATGAGAGATGGAACTCCACATGACATCTCTTGTTCGTAGCTTGGAAATTGTGACAGCCAAAGAAAAGAAGAATACAAACGCTAATCCTGGTTTCTTCATAAGTGTAGATACTTTAATTTTTCTCCAGAACTTCCATCCTACAAATTCTATATATTTACAATTTACAGTTTACAGTATAATTAATTGTAATGTGTGAATGTATTTAAATTGTCTATTCTGATTAGTATCCGTTAAAATGGAACTTACATGGTGTAAAAAGGGATTTTAAATGTTCAGTTTTCCTTTCCATTTGTTATTACTTTAAGTAATAATGGATCCAAAGAAACAATTTGTTAGGTTAGACAACAACCTTATGTTACTTCCTTCTATTTCCTTGTCATTCTTCTCTGTCAAAAATATAAACCTATACAGAATTAAAATGTTCCGGTGAACGGGAACTTCTAACAGAATTCAAGAGTTAGTAAACTTATTTCTCACAGAAGTTTAACAATCGAAATTTATATATTAAGCAAGAATTCAAAATGTAGGTCATAGAACAATACAAATTATTCAATATAGTAGGCCTATATTCGATTGAACTGATTAATTGATGCAGGTACTCCTAAACAAAAAGTCCACTACTTTTCTCTACGGTACTGAGTTCTCATGACAGAGAACTATTCCCTATTCACGTTTGAATCGCAGGTTTCAAATATATTTTTATAGGATTCAGTGAAAGTCATAAGATTTTCAGTCACATAAACTTTCCTTAAAATACTCTGTTACGCTGTGTCTAATAAGAAATAAAATCAAAAATCTTAATGTAAGCTTTGATTGGTAATTAATCTTACACGACTTTCGAATACATAGCACATAATTAGTAACATGAATAGACATCATTAATTGAGTTATCGAAATTAAAATGGAAGTTAAACAGTTGGTAACAGGAAAATTAACTAATTGAACTGAATAAATATTATTTATATACAGATAAATATAAATTACAGCTTAAATATTTCATTCCACGTTAGGCCTCTGTAATTTGAGAAAGGGAAGAGATTAATATATAGTATATATATTTCGTACATAAATGCATTTTGTAGTATATATCTGTAGTTCCTTTACTCAGGGATTGATTGAGTCTTACCCACATATCACAAGGGCGAAAAACAAAATGGTTTCTGTGAAACTCGGAGATGATCAGAGAAAGGAATGCGTTGGTTTTCAGATGTCTTCACAGGACCATCCTGAAACAAAGAAATACTATATTCAGTGTCTTGAATGAAGTCATCACACGAGTAGACATTTTTGGCATCAGTTAAGCATATTGGGCATCAATTATTACAAAATAAAAAACAAACTCGGTGGTTTCAGTCCGCAAGTGAATCACACCGACCGAGCTACCGCCGCTTGTCGGCGAAGTTAAGTGCCAACTTTTTGCGGATAGGTGTCGCGTGGTCAGTGCAACGAATCCCCACGGAAGTTAATTTCAGTTTTCTAGATCGGAGCCGCTACTTCCTTGCTCCTCAGTTATCATCACGAGGCTGAGTAGACCCCATTCCACACCCACTACTTCTCCAAAAAAATCTGGAAGCGCCAGGAATCGAACCCGGACCTCTGGATCTTTAGCCAGGAACGCACTTATATTATAAATATCCTTCGGGATTTATATGTCTTTCACGCATACTATATTAAGTCCTCATTGCAAATATTTTCACTTTTATTTCTCCTCTTTACGGCGTCCACACTTAGTTACTTACTCCTAAGGATGAGCCCTTCTTGAGGAGCCGTCAATTGTGCAGCTACTCAAAAACTTTCCAGCATTTTATGGGACCCGAAGGTTCATTACCGTGTTCACAAGAGCCTTCCACTGGTCCCTATCCTGAGCCAGATCAATCAAATCCATACCATCCCATCCTACCTCTCTAAGATCCATTATAATATTGTCCACCCACCTACGCCTTGGTCTTTCCAGTGATCTCCTTCCTTCTGGCTTTCACACCAATATCCTGTATGCATTCCTGATCTCCCCCATTCGAGCTAAAGGCCCTTACGGCGTCCACAACCAAGAGGTAACAATATCAAACTCATGGGCAAGGAATTCTATAAAATAGGAACAAAAAGGCATTGCGAACAGAAGCAAGCCGCAACATAGAACTGTATCATTTGGACAAGTGAACGACGCCCCTAATAGAGGCACAAGAATTATATACAAACATTACTTTGTTGGACATTATTCGTAGTCCTGTTTTTGTCTAAAAACCGTCCTGTTTATTTTTCAAAACACAACGTTTCGGAGACTGGATTCTGTCTCCGTCCTCAGGTAAAACCTACTCTGTTAAGGACAGGGACTAGCTCTATCAACTGGGCCCAACCGAGGCACTGCCGCTTGTCGGCGAAGTTAGTGCCAACTTTGGCCGAGCCCTAGCTCAAGCGGTTAGTCCTGGGCTTCCAACCGCGGCAGCCCGGGTTCGATCCCGGGTCTGGTCAAGTGGGATTTGTGGTGGATAAAGTGGCGCTGGAGCAGGTTTTCTCCGAGTACTTCTGTTTCCCCTGCCAATCTTCATTCCACCAGTTGCTCCTCAATCACCCTCACCTATCATCTGGTGCTGGTACAATAGGCCAGAAGTGGCCGCAGTACAAGGGACTAGCAATAAAAAATAGTGCCAACTTTAGAGGATAGAGGGTGTCGCGTGGTCAGCGCAATGGATCCCCACGGCCGTTAATCTCCGTTTTCTAGACCGGAGTCGCTACTTTTCTATTCAAGTAGCTCCTCAATTATCATCACGATGCTCAGTGGACCCCGTTCCAGAACCACTACTTCCCTGCAAATCTGGTAGAGTGTGGAATCGAACCCGAGAACTCTGGATATGTAGCTAGGTACTCGGACCACTAGACCACAGTGGCAGTCGTTTATATATTCAGTACCTAACAAAATTTCTCCCCTCATGATGGAGGTAGCCAGGTGCTTCCTGCACGATAGTACCGCTCTGGGAGCCTGCAGGGACATTTATCCAAGGGGAATGTAATCTTAATCCTCAGTTCATGATTCTTTCATCTCTCTTGTCTCCAATTATTTTCACGGGCATTTTATTTTCAGATGATTTTAATTTCTCTCACTCTCTCTTTGAGTAAAAGAAAGGGCTGAGAAGACTGGAAAATCTGTATTTCATAATGTAACACACAAAATTACCAACGAAAATCTGTGCACATTAAACTCCAAACACGTGAAGCGTAGCAGCTATGGCCATGCATAATTTAAGGATCAAAGTCCGTGAAGTCAGAGCACTCTCAAGGCAGAAGCCAACACTAAAGAGACAAATTCTAAAATTAGAAAATGTTGTAAAGTCGTTGATAGGACATATTCTGTTGACCTATAGAATTACTGATTGGACAATATTTGTGTTAAATTTTTCTCTTTTATGTCGGAGAGGTAACGTAGTTTGTTGAGGCACTATACTACAAGCCGGAAGGTCGCGGGTTCGTTTCCCTATGTCACTGGATTTTTCAATTGACCTAATTCTTCCAGTCGCACTATGGCCCTCTATCTCTAACAGAAATGAGTATCAGGGACCTTCCTGAGGGTAAAGGGCTGCCGACGAGTAAGGCGACAACTTCACCACCATCTGTGAGCCGGTTGTCTAGCAAATGTGGGAGCCTCGACGTCTCACAGCCCTACAGGTCTCCACGGCTTGTTACAGGGATAGCTTTACATTTACTTTTACCCTCTGTTTGGACAGTACTCTGATCGTGTAGACCCTGTTGAACGGACGTAGCTGCGAAGCTTCGTGTGTTGGGTTTTCTTTTATGTTTTGTCTAATTCCCGCTGAGGACACTCTGAAGCTTTACTTGATAGCAGATCACAGACAGACGGACACACACCATCTCCACATGAAGCGTGGCTTTCTTTCTACTTTTATTTCGTAACCAATGCGTAATAACTGCCCAAAAACTGTTGAAATTTCTTAGTGTTTTAATTTATTTTCAGTTTTGTTTACCGTCCACCATGTAAGGATATCAAGATTTAAAAATTACATTTTTTTTTAATTTGTCAGTGCACTACATGTTTCGGCCATCACCACTCTACTGCCATCGTTGTTTTCGCATCATGTACACGTTGTAGCTCAGGAATTTCCTCATACAATTTATAAAATTCGTATTATTGCTACAGTTTTATTGTTGCATCTTAGAATCCTTTCGCAGTTGGTAAAGAACCGAAAATAATTTATAATACCAACTGCAGCATGATGTTAACATACAGCTTTGTTAGTCTTAGTGTTTCGTCTCTACTTCGTATTCAGAGGATCCTAGTTTCGATTCACGGCACGGGGTTTGGCTTCATCGTGACGGGAATTGTTTATCGTGTTTTTCCTCAGTTCCTCTGAGATAGTTCCTTAACATAGGCTTCAAGTGTTTCCTTTCCAACCTATCATTCACAAACTCTGTTACATTCGACATTACAGGCAGTAGTTCATGCATCGTCGTGAAATCCTCTAGAAATTCAAATGAAAGTAAAAGTAAAGTTAACTCATCGTCCATGCAAGCGTATAGAAGGCGTAGTAGTAAAGCTCCACGGATTGTTCTACGTTGGAGCTCAACAGCGAGCTATACGCTCCGGCAGCTTTATTCCTAAGAAGGAACCTTGGTACTCATTTAATAGGAACATAGTTAGAGTCCAGAACAATAAAGATAAAATTCCAGCCACAAGCGTGAGTCGAACCACATCCTGGAAACATATAGCCAGTCACTAAAAAGGAGTCTAGTTAACATAAATACGGTTGTGTTCTCGCAAGATTGAAATCTGTTCTTTGATGTGTTTGTGCACTCAAGAGCCAAACATTACCTAAGCGAAATTTAAAATAAGTCTATACGAGTAATAATTGTGTCTGTGTTAGGTTAAGCAGTGACGAATCTACGTTGGCTCCCTGCTGGCTGCAGGCGCTTTTACCATAATGCACGCCGTTAAGTATCTTCGCTCCGGGAGACTTTACATCCCCTCCCCCCCCCCACACCAATTCTATATCAAATTACTGCTGTATCATGAAACTGCTTGCCTGTACACCAAGCTCTCTTAATCCTTTATCTCCTTCAACTTCGGTTATTAGTTTGGCGAGGCAAATTTGTTTGAAGTAGAGATGGTAAGAGAAGAAGGCTATCTGGAGAGGCATTTAGCTTCATCAGTTTTTATCCTTAAGGAGAGAACCCTTCGTAGGATACATAAATTCTCCTTACGTCACGGTAAATGAGACTGCACGAATATCAAGCATCAGATAAATCCTAAATATATTTATTCCGTGCTGCAAATTTTGTTACAGAAATATAAATGTTTTCTTGAGAGTGACGGCATACCGGAAGCTGTTTAGGATTCAGTTTCCTTTCTTTAAGCCCCTTAGGCAACATTACAGATTCCATAACTCGTTTTTATGATTCCTAAAAATGGCTTATATGGTCAAAACTGATTCAAAATTCGGAATTTTGAGGTTAGTAAATGTTTCGGTATGGGGACTATATTGTGTCTTCTGAAATGAAATTCATTAATCTCGATAGCTCCTAAGGGCATTTGACGACCTTATAAGTTCATAGTAATAGAATATATCTTCTCTAAGAGTACTAAAATATTTTGTGCAACAAAGTACCTCCCTCCTTTACCCTGTAATCAGAGAAGTACTGGATAAATAATGGATATGACGGTCTGTTACTTTGTCGGGTTTATTGAATAATTCAGGGGGTGCTGAATCAAGAATGTGCAGCAATGATATATTGTATGTATTATGAGAGGAAGTGGGTTTCCCCATGCACTTAGACCAGTTATTGGTCCATTGTGCGTCCCCCTTTTAATTTCTACTGTCGCCATATCCTACCGGTAACGGTGCGTACCATCAGCCCCCGTAGAGCCAACGAGGTCGGCCCTCGGTACCTTGATGCTTCCCCCATCCACCAGAGGCATTGGAGACTAGTTGGGCGGGAAAGGGCCTGTAATTTAGCTCAGAGGTCTCCTAGAGACATGAGGTTCTTTTTTTTTTTTTCCTTGGCACTACAGCCCCAGTGGGCCTAGGCCTACCTCCATGAACTCCGTTCACTTCGGTTTTTCTAGATCTTACACATACGGTAGGACTCTTTGGGCGGGTGATCAGCTCGTCGCAAGGCCTCTACCTGTAGATAAACACAGAAAAACGCACACAAACATCCATGCCCTGAGTGGGATTCGAACCCACGATCCCGGCTTCCGAGCGAGCGAAGACAGTAC